TTTTTGATTTCTTTCATTTTTTAATGCCTTTAAAACAATCTTCAGATCTTCCTTTAATTTATTTTTCGTTCTTTTTGGTCCTTCTTTGTCTCTTGCTGCTGCTGCTGCTGCTGCTGCTGCTGCTGCTGCACCAACCACTCCCTCTGCTGCTGCCGGCCCTCCGCCTCGTGCTCGCCGGCTGCTGCTGCTGCTGCACTCCCTGCTGCCGCTTGCTGCTGCACCCCCGCCGCCGCCGCCGCTGCTGCTGCTGCTGCTGCTGCTGCTGCTGCTGCAGGACTACAAGCGGGAGGTGAGCGGGAAGGCGAAGCTGGGAGTGGCAGCGTTTGCTGACGCGCTGCTGGTCATTCCCAAAACCCTCGCGGAAAACAGCGGCTTGGATGTTTACCAAGTCCTTTTGGCGCTGCTCGACAAACACCAGACTTCGCAGCAGCTAGCTGGCCTCGACCTCGACTCCGGCAAGCCCAACGCCCCCGCCCTCGAGGGTGCGGCTCTGGCTAGCTGGCTAGCTGGCTGGCTGGCTGGCTAGCTGGCCGGGCAGGGGGGGTAGCTAGCTGGCGGGGGAGGGGGCTAGCTAGCTGGCGGGGGGGGGCTAGCTAGCTGGCTGGGGAGGGGGCTAGCTAGCTAGCTAGCTGGCTGGCTGGGGAGGGGGGCTAGCTAGCCAGCTAGCTGGCTCGGGAGGTGGAGTGATGGGGAGCTAGCTAGCTGGCTGGGGAGTGGGGAGCTAGCTAGCTAGCTGGGGGATGGGGGGGCAGCTAGCTAGCTGGGGGATGGGGAGGTAGCTAGCTAGCTGGGGAGGTGGGGAGGTGGCTGGGGGGCTAGCTGCGGAGCTAGCTAGCTAGCTAGCTGGGGAGCTGGCTGGGAAAGTAGCTAGCTGGGGAAGTAGCTAGGTAGCTAGCTAGCCAGCTAGTTCACCAAGTAGCTAGCCAGCTAATCTACGAGCTGGCTAGCCAGCTCGACCACCAGCTAGCTAGCCAGAAACTCCACCAGCTAGCTAGAGCCAGCTAGCTAGCCAGCCAGTCTACTAGCTAGCTAGCTAGCTAGCTAGCCAGAGAGTCTACTACCCAGCCAGTCCACTAGCTAGCTAGCTAGCTAGCTAGCTAGCCAGCGAGTCTACTAGCCAGCCAGTCTACTAGCTAGCTAGCTCGCTAGCGAGTCTGCTAGCTAGCCAGTCTACTAGCTAGCTAGCTAGCTAGCTAAAGGGTGGCTAGCTGTGTTTGTTCTCAGGAATTTGGGACAACTACAAAGTGAAGAGACAAATGCTTTCGCTGGCGCCCACGCTGGCGCAGCAGCTGCTGCTGGTGGACGAGGTGTTGAAGGCGGGCAAATCTATGGCGAAAAACTAAACCCTAAACCCTAAACCCTAAACCCTACGCCCTACAGGGCACGAGCCCCGACACCAAACCCTACTCCGCCTGGGGCCTCCAAACCCTAAACCCTCGACGCGGAAAAATGCACACAAGTGCGGGCCCGGCGGGGCCCGAGGCACTCGAGGGTTTAGGGTTTAGGGTTTAGGGTTTTTGTGCCGTGGAGGCCATCAGCGCGTGGGGCCAAAAAGGAGAAGGAAGACTTTATTTTGATTGTTTTGTTCTTTTGACAAAACGGATTTAATTAAATAAACTTTATTCCATTTTAACTCTCTTGAAACAAATCGTGCATCGGGGGGTCGCCACAGTGCTGCTGCTGCTGCTGCTGCTGCTGCTGCTACTTCTGCTGCTGCTGCAGCGTTGCGGCTGCCAGGGGCAGCCAGAGGCCCCCTGCAGCACAAGGGGCCCGCAGGGGTACCTAGGGGGCCCCCAAGGGGCCCCCGTAGCGCAGTTTAAGAGTTTGTCTTAAGGGGCCCCCATGGGGGCCCCCCGGCATTGAGGGACCCAAGGGGGGCCCCATGGGGGCCCCCATGGTGGGCCTTCGGGGGGCGATTTGGGGACCCTTTGGGGGCCCCCAGGGGCCCCACTTGGTTCTTATGGAGACCCTAAAAAGAGCTTCATGAGGGGCCCGCCTGTACTGAGGGGCCCCAGGGGGCCCTGTAGGGGCACCTTGGGCGTGGGGCTATTATAAGTCCCCTTGGGGTCCCCCTGGGGGCCCCCTAGAGGCCCCTGGGGGAACCCCCGAGAGCCCTCCGGGGGCACTCAATAAGGCTCTCAAGGGGGCCCCTAGTGGGGCCCCCAAAGGAGCCGCGTGGCTGTCATTTGAATTCTTTTGGAAGTCCCCAGGGGGGACCCCAGTTAGGGGGCCCCTTTGGCAGTTTTTGGGGGCCCCCAACGGGTCCCCTGGGGGCCCCAAGCCGCAGAGGAGGCTCCCTTTGGGGCCCCAAAAGGGCCCCAAAATGGGGCCCCCTAACACTCTCTGAAGCTCCCTAAGTGGGGCAACCCTATGGGACCTTAAGGGTACTAAGGGGCCCACATAGGGGCCCTCATAGGGGCCCCCATAGGGGCCCCCATAGGGGCCCCCATAGGGGCCCCCATAGGGGCCCCATAGGGGCCCCTGTGAAGGGCAGTCTTTCGGGGATGCCGTGGGGTCCCCTTGGGGGCCCTTGGGGGGCCCTTAGGGGCCCTTAGAAAGGCCTTTAGAGGGGAAAAAGGACCCTGTAAGGGCCCCATTAGGGGCCCCCAGGAAAGGGCCTTCAGGGACCCTCTTCAGGGCCTCTAGGGGCCTTCAAGGGGCTCCCAAGGGGCCCCCTTAGGGCCCCCAAGGAGCCTCTTTAGGGCCCCTAAGGGGCCCCTTGGGGGCCTTTAAGGGGCCCCCATAGGGCCCCCAAGGGGCCCATAAATGCAATAAATGGGGACAAAACTTGGAGAGGGGCCCCTCAACTTTTGTTTAAAGTCTGCTGAGGGGCGGAGGGCAGCGGGGGGGCCCCCTGAGTTGTGGGATTTGTTCAAGAGCTGTAAAGACAGCTGCGGCGAACTCGTGAGGTAGCCTGCAGCAGCAGCAGTAGCAGCAGCAGCAGTAGCAGCAACAGCAGCAGCAGCAGCTGGTGCTGTTGCAGTGGGGCAGCAACTGTAAAGAAAAAAAGCAAATGTAGGTGCTGCAGCAGCAGCAAAAACAGCGGCTCTACCGCAGCAGCGGCAGCAGCAGCAACAGCAGCAGGAACAAGCCAATCCCAAAGACAGCAGCAGCCGTATTGGCAGCAACAGAAGCTACAGCAACAACAACAGCAGCAGCAGCTGCTGCAGCAGCAGCAGACATACCTGTCTGACAGCAGCGCTAGTGCGGGCTCTCGTAGAAATTGATGAGCAGCAAGAAGGGGCCCCAGCTGCTGCTGCAGCACCTCGAAGCCCCCGCTGCACAAAAACTGCAGCAGCAGTAGCACCAGCAGCAGCAGCAGCAACGGCCTAATGCTGAATGGAAAGGTGTGCCTCAAACAGCGTCAGCAGCAGCAGCAGCAGAAGGCAGCAGCAGCAGCAGAAGCAACATTCGCAGCAACACAAGCAGTAACAGCGACAGCAACAACAGCAGCAACACAAGTGTCAGCAGCAACAGCCATAGTCACCGTAGCACACGCAACAGCATCAACAGTAACAGCAGCAGAAGCAGCAGCAAAAATAGCGACAGTAGCAGCAGCAGCAGCATCAGCAGCAGCATAAACAGCAGCAACTGCAGCAGCAAAAGCGGCGAACTGGAAGCGGAGCAGCAAGGAAGTTGACTGAGTCTATAGCCTGCTGCTGCTGCCTGCGTTGCACAGCAGCAAGGACTTCTTGAGTGCAGCCTCTCCGTCTTGCTGCTACTGTTGCCGCTGCTGCTGCTGCTGCTGCCTCTGTCTCTACTTGCTGCAGCAAAGCAGTCCACAGCAGGCGCTGCAGCTCCTGCCCTTGCTTCTGCTGCTGCTGCTGCTGCTGCTGCGGCAGCAGCGGCGAAGGGACTCCCAGCAGCTGCGAGCGCCGGGCAAATTCCCGCAGCAGCTCATAAGGGGCCCCGATCTTCTCTCCCTGAGCAGCAGCAGCAGGTGCTGCTGCTGCTGCTGTTAAAACGCCGGGCAGCAGCCGCGCTGTCAAAGCAATGCTGCAGCAACGCATGTTCGCAGCAGCAAACTGCAAACTGCACCTTCTGATGATAGCTGCTGCCAGATGTCTACGGGAGAGAGGACACAGCAGCAGCAGCAGCAGCAGTAGCAGCAGCAGCAGCAGAA